GACAATAGCACCTTTAGAAATATATTTACTGAGGAAAATGGTGACGTGTTCAATACTTATTTTACCCGCTGTATGTTTTCATTAGTGTATAATCACCTGAATACATGAGCTGTGTTTTTGTTACCTTAGAATGAGCTGTTTCTATCTACAGAGGAGTGGATCCTCTTCTGAAGCGCATGTTTCTACAGAACCCCGGAACAAACAAACCAAATACTGGCTCTAATCTAGGGCTTTTTGTGTTTTTTGCAATTTTCGCAGCCACCGTAGTTTCCCTCACATGCTTTGTTTTAGGGGGGTAAGGCGAGGGCATTGCAGTCACCACTAGATGCCACCAAATCTTGCACACTGGACTTGTAAAATGATGTAAAATACCTTTACTGTTGTACCATATTTAAGTATGTGCTTTCTTTCTTCTCATCTAATTGGTGGCAAACTATTGACATTGTCCTTTGTCCAGACGTTCATCGGCCGTTTTAGACGAACCATGGACTCCTCCCAGAATGCCTACAACGAGGACACGTCCGCACTGGTGGAGCGTCTGGACTGTCTGGAGAAAGTTCTGTTTCGGTCAGGGCAGAGCGGCCTCAACGGCTTCCAGAGCTGGGAGAAGGGCCAGGCCACCCAGCTCACCGCCTCTAGTCTGGTCCTCAACTACCGTAAGAGGAAGATGACAGACGTGCAGCACTGACCTCTGCCCGCAGTGAAAAAGAAAACGGACACCGGTCAGAGAGCGCTGACTTCCTGTGGTTTTCCAATTCCACAGACAGACTTTCACATCCGAGCCATGCTCTCTGTGGTGTGGAGTATAAATGTGTTTCCTATTTATTGTGTCACATTGTTTCCACTGATGGTGCAGGAACTGATGATAAGTTGATCTATGAATATTCAATTCTTGTCATTTTGATTGCTGCTATTGTTCTTTTTATCATACATCAAGTAAAGAACCTTTAGCTGGTTGCAGCGTTACAAATACAAACAGTTGCTTGTTTTTTCTGTTTTATGGCATTACAGATGGGTAACCTTTGGATTGTTAGGCTGGTCCATTGGGGTAGGTGATATGGATAAAATGTTCTTCCTTGATATACGTGATTTTATATCTTAAAATAGAAACTCATTTCTAAATTGCCTTGTTCTACGAACAGAACTGGCAATATTACAGATAGCTGAACAGAGCAAAATCAGTAATAGATTTTAGTCTTAATTTTATAAATATTTACAAGGGATTCTGTTACTTCAGCATCTACCTGCTGCCACAGTGTTGACTGCCGTTATCTGTGCTCATAAAGGAACACTTGCATAGCAGCATAGTCTGTGGTAAGGCGGGCTTTGAAAATACAAACCATCATTTTCATAATGTTGACTACTTAAGCTGTCACTTAATCCGTGTTGTTAATACTATAGAAAGTGGCCGTAGCATGCAGATTGAGGTCACCTCTAAATGCCAACTGCTGGGCACAGTGAGCAGAATCTACAATTACCACCTGCCGGGCACCAAATGCTGGTAAAACGTGTTTTTGGTAGAATTATCAGTGAGATTTCTTAACATTTGGACGTCATGTGTGAATTATCAGTGCATTCTGTATGAATTCAATTTATAAATGATAATAAATGTACCGTACATACATTATTTTTGAGCTTCTATATGCTTTAAATCCTGTATGCTACTAAAAGACTCATCTTCAGAATTGTTTATTTGACATATATTAAATATTAAAGTAAAACTAGTTAAGTTGAGTTTTAACCTTTTGGATAAAAAATGTCATCAAACCAATAAAGTGTTTTTCACAGTGACCTTTGAGTCCAAAGTGTCCCCAGTTGTCCCACCAGCTGAAATATGGTCGTCAAATCTTGAGTTACGGCCAGAAACGTGTTTTGTGATGTTACAGTGACTTTTGAACACCAAATTCGAATCACTTCGTCATCAGTCAACATTTGTGCAAAATTTGAAGAAAATTCTGTGGAGGTGTTCCAAGAATGGGATAGACGGATGTACAGCGCTATAGAAAAATATGCCATACTGTTCCTGTGTTTAGTGTCCATTTTATATTGTTTCTCACATTGTATCTGTTATTGTGTTCCAATTTGTGATGTCTGCTCTACAGAGTTGCTCTTTAATGAAACCTATCCATAATACTTGGGACCATTATGGTAATGTTGATAACGGTAATTGTCAGACCCCCGCTGAACCTGACTCATACTTCTTATTGATATTCAGCTTAATGACTCACTTGTGGAGCTGCCTTTGTACTTATGATTTACAGTAATCTCGGCCTGAATCACCGCTGCATCACAAACACTAACACATGTAATGTGAAAAACGTGGCAAAAAGACTGTTTGACAAAAGATATACAGAGTACCAAACAGGGAAACTACTTTAAGTTATCACACAGTAAATTAGTCTTCAACAACTCTCAGCACTACTTCTGTTTAACGCTGCAAACTCCATTTCCCTGACCTTCACCATATTAGTATTTACTCTCCGTCTGAGATTTTATTGTAAGGTGGTCCTGGTATTTTGTCCGCGCCCTCTCTGTGTATGTACGTGAGTGTGTTGGCCTTTAGCTGCTGATATCATTAGCTCGCTATCCCCGCAGTGGCCCTGCTTGTTATCTAGAGGTGACATTCAAACATGTCAGCCCAGTGTGTGTTTGTTTTCAACTAAACTCCAGCGTAGGGTGTTTCTGCATAATTAATCACTACTTTTAGTAGTTTTTTTTAATTGAAATGCAGGACTTACTTATTATGGAGTGGCTTTACATTTTGTGTTTTTGAGAGAGAGAGAGAGAGAGAGAGAGAGAGAGATGCACAGCAACAACAGTAGCAACAACTACACTAATAGTAGTGACTGATGATGATCATGAAAAAGACG